ATGACTGGTGGAGCTGGAATATCAACTTGAATCTGTAGTTTCTGGAGCATAACCCACAGATAATAGTAACATAATGTAATCATAAATGATTCAATGAACCAAAATTTTTAAATAGCTTTCTTTTTTACTCAGGTTAGGAAAAATTTGGTTTCAGTGTTTTGTATCTAATGTAATGTACTTCATAAGATAATGCAGCATTAATATTTAATAATACAATTTTAACTTTTATATAGTTTAATTTTTCTTAAATGTGCAATTTGCTCAGTCCCTGAAATAAATAGAGAGATTAGGAGTTTACAAGCAAGGGATGTATCGTGGTATGTTCTAAACTCAGTAGATAAAACATCATATACACATGTTATGAAATATACATTATATATGTAATAAAAAATTAAGGGATAGTAGAAAATGTATAATATTTCTTAAGTCATAAAGACATCTATGTAACGCCTTTACCCAATCTAAATTATCTTTTGTAAACCAAACCACAAAGAACTCTCCCATCAATTAGATACTATATATGTTATATTGAATGAAGAGTAATAAATGGCCTGTTAAATTTTTTTCAACATGATTTCTAAAACTACTTTTGAGGTTCTATGTTAAAAACAATAGTTTATAGACTAAATTATGACATCTTTTTATATTTGTCAGGGAAACATGGAAGAATAACTTTTGATAAGTTTGCATTAAGAATGCACTTGAGGGCACCTAGGTGGCTCAGTTGGTTAAGAGACTGCCTTCGGCTCAGGTCATGATCCTGGAGTCCCAGGATCCAGTCCCACATCAGGCCCCCTGCTTGGCAGGGAGTCTGCTTCTCCCTCTGACGCTCCCCCCTCTCATGCTCTTTCTCTCTCATTCTCATTCTCTCTCTCAAATAAATAAATAAAATCTCTAAAAAAATGCACTTCAAATTTTAATCAGGTTTTCCTCAACAAACTTGAAATAAAAAGAATAAATCCGAATTTTGGTATGGTAACATTTTGGGTTAAAATGACCTAAAAGTGAAAAGTACAATAGATATTTTACAAAAGGCATTTTGCACATTGCATATTTAATTGCAGTTTTGACCATGAATTATTTCATCAAGAGACTGCTGCATACTGAACCGTAAGAAATTGGTTTTCCACCAGAATATGTTTTTTAGAGAGAAATGCATAACTAATGATGTCTTTGCTGCCAAATTTTTGCTTATAAAAATATACTTTAGTCATACCTCAGAAAGTAGGGTTGTGGTTTTTCTTTTGTTTGCTTAGTTTTTTGTTTTGTTTTGTTTGGGTTTTGTTGTTGTTGTTGTGTGTTTTAGTTTGTTTTGGTTTGGTTTCTTGGAGCTGAGAGGACCACCAAACATTTTAGGAAATATTTTTACCCATTGGATTCAGCAGAAGGGTGCCACCTGGTGGCAATGTGGGCAAATTCTAAACTGGTCTAACTATAAAAATGTACTCATTTAAGAAACCTTGAAAGTCCCATCATTACCAAGAATTTTTTTTTTAAAGTTCCTATGTACTTATCAGGACCTACCTGGCTCTTTTTATATTATTTCCATCAATGGAAGAGATATTAAGTTAACTTTAAAAATCTCAAGAGCTATTATTTACATTTAAAATCGAAGCTTTAAACAAATTCATCCATTTTACATTCAAAGTAAATCTGTACACACAAAATATTTGCAATTATTTTGCATTATGCTAATAACAATGTATTGAACTGTAACTGGGTAGAAGTTAGAAGGTGGGGATTTAGAATTCAATGACCATATTTTATCTTAGGTATCATAGACTGGGGTTAAGTCCCATCTCCACCACTTATGAAGACAAGTTTGATTAGTTTCTTTAATCCTCTGTACGAACAGAGGATTGACCAAACTCAAAAAGTTTCTTTGAGCATCAAGTAGAAAAATGCATTTCATTAATGTTATCAGTCCAGAGGACAGTACTCCGCCCATGGCAAGCATTCAGGAAGTAATTTTTAAAAACAGTAAGTTACAACTTGTCACTCAAGATTTTAGATCCCTCAATGTCAAGTGGGATATTGATTATATTCAGAATGACAGTATCTACCCATATCAAATCATCTATCTAGATATTTTGTAAATGTGGAGCATCATGAAAACAACAAAACAACTTTCATCAACATTTAATCAACGAAGCTTTAAAGGAAAGACTACTAAAATGATAAAAAAAAATATTTCCAATGATTGAGAATGTTAATAAAAGCACACAGTCCCTGCTATTCTTGTTGCCACTTCTCCCAGTGGAAGAAGTGACTTGTCGTGGCACCATGTCCCAAAGGAGAGTCACAGATGAAATGAAATGGGGGGGGTGTCAAACTCGCTAAAAGACCATAACAACCACCAGATTATAGGATTCATAACCATTTCAAACCCAGAGGAAAGACCATAGTCTTCCACTGGGCTCTAAGTGGAAATAGGTGTTGATAGCCTCAGGAGAAGGCGTTTTTGAGATTTCATAAAATCTCTACTATGAAAAGCCAAAGACCTTTCTGGCAACATCTGAAAGCTTAAATCACTTAAAATCAATACACAGTGAGTGAGTAGCTGGAATATACCCCCTCTTTAACCCTTAAGTAGGACTTCATAAAGCTATATTTTTATTTAAATTTGTGAATCTTTTTTTTTAAAGAAATATAGAAACCAGATCATTCACGTCTATTTGGGAGTGTTATAGCTAGTACCACATGAGAGTTATTGGACAATTGCAGCATCAGACCACAATGGCTAATCCTGTTAATAAAAACTTAGTACTCTTAGAGCAAGTAGTTTAAGCAATCACAGCAATCATCCACATTATCTGATCATCATTTCATAGGTCAAGCTTCAGACAAAGAATATGCTAAAGATATTTTCTAGGAGTGCTTGGAAAACCTTCAATGGGATGCTGCCATGGATATTTCATTCTGCTTTCCTTCCCCTAGCAAAATCAATCTCTTTCATTTTAACTCAAGCATTATATGCATACCATTGACATTTTAAAATCATGTAAATGTTCAGAAAGGCACTTTAAAAACTCAATTAAAACAAGAGTTCTGCAAATGGCCACTCCCTGAATATCTGAAGTGGCCGTAAACCAAAATGCACACCCACAAGAAAAACGGGATTTAAGCTTGACTCTCTCTCTTCAGATGAATTTTAAGTACCAAATTAGTCCTGACAAAAGGCTTTACTGTGCATAGGCATCTTGTCCACTGTTTACATATACATTTTCAGTTTCCGTGTGGTCTGCTCTGCTTCTCCCTCCCCACAGCCACTAGTACCAAGCAGTTTGCAGCACCTTAAGTAACCAGCTGGTGTCACAGGGTAGTGAGCAAAGATTTCATGTGGGGACTCTCACCTGACTAATCATTCTTATTGGAAGCATCACTCCAAGAGCAGTAGAGAGGCTCGGCGGCTTGTTAATGAAATTTAAGGGCTGTCAGCTTGAAACAGGATGTTAAATCCAGGCTCCTCTCCTAAAATTATTTTTATGATCTGCTAACCAGTTGCTACCTTGTGGTGTGTGTTCGAGGGGGCAGAGGAAAAAGATGTTAAGAGAGGGGACAGACAATACAATATAAATGTTTCAATATTTTCATATTGATCTCAGGATAAGGAGTAAAGAGACTAGTTTAAGAAAACAACTGCTTTGTAAAAACTGCAACATTCACTCCAGTAAATGGAGGGGGAGCTTTAAGGCATTGAGCAATCCTCACCACCTGTGTGAAACGTATGTGAGGGAAATGAGGAGGAAAGGGAAGAGGAGAAGAGGAAGACCACAAGCCAGGACAGATGACCAAGACTAGAATATTAGTAACAGCAGCCCTGGCATCTCCTCCTCCACCTCAACACCACTGGGGCGATTTGGACAGCTTCCCTTCACTTGCTCTTCAGTGCTCAGACTATGCGAAAAGCGGAGCCGCTACTGGAACCTCGCTGCTTGCACCTCCTTCACCCCACTTCTGGCAATGAGCTAGGAGTGTCTCTGGCAGAAACGCATCGGGCGGCCTTCAACAGTGCACTTGGGGCAAAGGGCCCCCAGCCGGTACCCGGGTGCCCCCGTAGTTATCCGCTGACCTAACTGTTGCCCTCTCGGCTCAGAGTCCCTGATTGATGTAAACGTGACAACACCTGGAGGCGGCTCCTCAACAGCCTGCCTCCTCTTTGCCAGGGCATCTCAGCGCTCCGAGCCGACCCTACAACTTTGGGAAAAAGCGACACCGAACTCCCGAGTCACCCCAATCCAGGGACAGAGACGAGATGAAGATCCACCGAACGGTTATGCTACAAATCTCGAAACACCAAAACAAAAAAGGGGGTGGCCGGTGCGGAAAAACGGAAAAGGGACAGAAATAACCCTCAGCCGGTACAGGGCACCCCATCTCTGCAGACACACACATCTGGCCCCAACAAATCACTAAGGCCAGTACCTTGCCAGCTTCCCATAATAATGCCTTTTACTCCCAAGCTCCGCTCCACTCAGCAGACCACAGATGCAGGGTACACCTCCTTCCCCCATTTAGCGCCCCCCCCACCCGCCCCGTCCCGGTCTCCTCTAAAGAAAAAAGAAAGCAAAAACTCTGCTGGCCTAAAGGTCATTTTCCTAGTGGGGTAGCTTTGGCCAGCGCTCGCTCGTTTCAGCTGCGTGTAGACCCGCTCTAACCCTGCAAGTGGACAAGCGCAATAATTTCTCCAACGTGCGTTAATTTGAGCCAAGAGGCCCCCATTCCGTGGCCCCGGCCGCCTCCCCCTCCCTCGGTGGCCCGCCCGCCCTGGGCTCCCGGGCCACCCCCAGCCTTTACCTCTCTCCCCCCTTCCCCTCGGCTCTCCACCTTGCGCATTCTCTCGCCCGGCCCCAGAGCGCACTCGGCTGTTCGAACTTCCTGCGGAGTCCATGGAGGAGGCTGGAACTGGGGCGGGGGGAGGGTGGGGAGATGGAGGCGGGGGAAGCGCCGACTGGAGCCACCCTTCCCGGGAGGGCCTGACCGCAGCTGCCAACTCTCACCTGGTCCGCCGGCTGCGCCTGGCTCGCCCTGGCCCCCGGGGTGGGCTGCTGCTCCTGCTTCATGGCTGTCATCGCCGGCGGCCCGCGTTGCCGCTCACTTCCTCGCGGGCACTTCAGACTCGGGGACCGTCACTTGGCAGTGATCGCATGTCACAGGAGCCCGACGCTCTCCGAACTGGCAGAAGGGAAAGCGGCAGCGACGGGGTGGGGGGAGGGGAGCGACAGGGAGGGGAAGAAGAGCGGCACCAGGCAGGCTCCCCCTTGCAAGATCCCTCCTTCGGCTACCGCAGACCCTCGAACTCCCCACTCCCCCCGCCCCACACCACCCCAAAGCGTAGAGAGCCTCGGAGATCAAACACGACCAAGTGGCAAGTTAGTGGAGCAGCGAGAGGCACCTGACCGTGCTCGAGCGATGTCTCACAGCGCCGGAGGAACCCGGCTAGCATTCTACCGCAGTCCGCGCCCCCCGCCCGCCCCCGGGGGCTCCCGGCGCCGCGCTTAGTGCTCCAGGTTGAGCAGCCCGGCGCCCCGCTCCAGCATCTCCCGAGCAACCGCAACGCGGGAGAGAGCCCTGCGCGTCGCGCTAGCTCCTCACACGCGCGGCCAAGGCGGCTGGGCTCTGCTGGCCCCCTCACCCCCCCACCCCCGCCCCCCGCGGGCTCCTGCTAAAACCCGGAGAAGCGGAGCGCGCCCGTGCAAAGCCCTCGGTGGCTCGATCGCTGCCACTGGGCATGCTCCAGCGCTCAGAGAAGGCAGGGGGCAGCTGGGGACTAGGGGCCCAGAGCCCCACTGGGGCTGCCAACACCTGTCGGGACCCAAGTGTTAGTCCCACGTTATGGACCGAGGCTCTGCGTCTCTCGATTTGTGGCAACGGACGTCCTTATCCTTTAGCCTCCAGCCTGGGCACCACCCCCCACCAGCTGCCAGTGGAATTCCGAAAGGTGGATTACAAACAATAGTAACTAATGATTTTGTTTTATCCTTTTCTCTAGGACACGGAGAAAAATCTTCAAATTTTCAGTCCCGTCTCCAACCTTCCCTTGGCTTAACACAACCCTCGCCCCTTCAAAGTTTTCTGAGCACCCATCATGTGTCAAACACACTGCAAGGCTTGGAGGGATTGCAAGGAAGAGAGACTAAATACCTAGACAAACTTACCAAATTCCCTGCCTACAAGGAGTGTACCTGATACTGTGGGTACTGGGAGCCTGGAGCAGGGATATGAATCAATGAGTCAATTTAACTCTTTGGAAGTTGAATTCCTGTGGGTGGGTATAACACACAAAGTCCACCAGTGTCATCTAGATGCATTACTACTTTTCCCTGTTGCTAGAAAGGACCTGCCCAAAACAGATGGACAACAAGCAGTCCCCAGTCTCAGGCACAGGTTTTTGGAGATTGCTCACTAGAGAAGAGGCTGGAGGGAATTAAATATCCAGATGTTACTGCACTCAGCACCAGGGTTGTGACAAGGTTCCAGTGGGAAGGGATTGAGCGTATGGATGGGGGAGGGTGGCCAGTAGCCTTGAGTTTGTTTTTATTGGCTAAGCCTGGCTCCCCAAACCCTGTCTGATTTACTCAGTCCATGAACTGGGCACTTCCTAGAGAGGGTCTATCCTAGGGTAATAGGAGTTGTGCTCCTGCCTGTTAGTGAATTGTCCATCACACTTGTCCTAAATATTGTGTCAACAGTTCCTTTAAAATATGTTTAAAAAAAAAAAGCGGTGATCTCTAGGTTTGATTAGATTAGAAAATAAAAATATGAATTTTTTTCTTCAAAAAGGTGGGATTTGGGTGATGATGAAAGCTTACTTTTCAAAAATAAGTAGTCTAGTGCATATTATGAGTGACTTCTAATAGTGTGTTGGTCCAAAAGAAATGTTTTTTGAGAGGAATGACTTTGCTATTTGTAAAAATATAAAGCAAATTTTAAAAATGAAACATGGTCAGGGGGCTGCCTGGGTGGCTTAGTCATTAAGTGTGGTACTCTTGATTTCAGCTTAGGTCATGATCTCAGGGTCCTGAGATCAAGCCCTAGTCCATCCAGGCTTAGTAGGGCGTCTGCTTGAGATTCTCTTTCTCGCTCTGCCCCTACTCCCCCACCCCCAACCTCCCACTGCTCTCTGGCCCACTGGGTGCCTGTGCCCCCCCCCAAATAAAATAAATCTTAAAAAAAAATGAAACATGAGGGGCCTCTGGGTGGCTCAGTCGGTTAAGGGTCTGCCTTCGGCTCAGGTCATGATCCCAGGGTCCTGGGATCAAGCCCCGTGTAGGGCTCCCTGCTCAGTGGGGAGCCTGCTTCTCCCTCTCTTCCCTGCTGGTGCTCTTTCTCTCTCTCAAAAAAATACTTTTAAAAAATGAAACATGGGTATAATAGCTATTGAGTAGTTTGTCCATTAACATGGCAATCTCTATTTTCCCACGTTTTTTCCACCCCCCAGGGAGAAAGGGGTCTACATTATTCCAAAAAATGTTTCTATCCTTGTATTTTGCTCTTCTGCTTATCATTTTAGTACATTCATCCTTTGAATGTGTTTCCATTTTGGACAGTTGATTTGACTTGAAAGTTTATGTGCAAAGATTTCTGTTGACATAGGACAAGCATAGACAAGAGGGAATTATTCTCAGCCTACTTGATTATTTATTTGATTGAAGTCAACTGTTCAACTTGCATTCTTTTTCAGTATTCATTATAAAATCTCCTTTGTGGTTACAAACAAAGATGTAAGTTGTATATGTTTCATGTATAATGTGTATATGTGTATATATATCATTTTTTAAAGGAAAGTTTCTTTGATTTGAGTCCATCTTTTTGCATGGGTTATTTTGTCTACGCTGAAAGCATTATTTTATATCTGTTGGGGTCTAAGGACATTAATTAAAACTTAATCATATGTAATTTACAGCTTAAAAACTACTTTTTGAAATGTGATGCACTGGAATTACAATGTACGATTTTCTACTTCATTTCTTTTTTTTTTTTTAATAATTTTTTTATTGTTAACCACCATACATTACATCATTAGTTTTTGATGCAGTGTTCCATGATTCATTGTTTGTGCATAACACCCAGTGCTCCACACAGAATGTGCCCTCTTTAATATTCTACTTCATTTCTTATTGAAGAAAAATGCTAATGTCCAAGAAGAAAAAAGTAAAGGAATACCTTCCATTCTAAGAGAGAATATCTGCAGCTCAGTTGTATATGGCTTCTGATAGTAAGTTGTCATTAAAAAAAAATTATAATCAAACATCTACAAACTATATCTAATCGAGTAGATATAACCATAGTGCAGTGTGGACAAGAGAACAATGTGCCAGCCTACATCTCAGCAGAATGGGCTCCTGCCTTAGCTTCATCACAGAATGGAGGTATGGGCAAGAGTGAAGTCACTTAGCTCCTGCCTCTGCTTCCTTATGTGGTAAAATTAAACATTTTAGACTAGGTGACCAACAAGATCCTTTCCTTCCCTAAAATTCTATGAGAGATCTTAATTTTACAAATCAAAAGACTATCTAATCTGAAATGATAAATTACTTATATATGTTTAAATTTTAGTAGGAGTCAGTTAAGGGCTTAGAAAAGTACAAAAAATTCAATAGATAAGGATTCTTCATGAAGTGACTAACTTAATATCCACCAAACTTCCCCCACACTCTCTAGTTTACATAAATGTATAGTAACAATTCTTGCCTTGATAATACTTTTAAAATTCAGAAACTTAAATATCTCTCTACAGTGTATCATTTCTGAAAATTAAAGATTTAAAGAGTTTTGTAGAAATTAACAGAATATTTTTGAGTACTTTTCCTCATATGTTTGATGAACTAACTCGTGGATACCATACAACTTAAAATCCTGATACAATGGTAAAAGAGGTTTTCCTAGTCTTTATGGAATGGAATCAGACTCTCATAACTGCAAAAGGCCTGGAGAGATTGCCCAGAAAAATTCCCTCTATTTTAGGTTATAAGTTTCTAAACTTTGCAACATATTCAGGAAGATTTCTAGGATTTAGACTTCATCACTTCCTTCTGAAAATTTTCACTGACTGAAATCCTAGTTTCAGGTTCCCATGTAGATATAACCCACCATGTTGCATCCTCAACATACTGATAGGAATTTCCAAAGTCCCTCAAAAATTTTCTTGCATAAAATATTGTGAACATCTACAATGTCTTTCACTGCTATTTGATTCTTTAAAAGTGAGATACCAATTCAGTACATTTCATTTTACCTAGAATTATTAATATGAATAATTGAGGATGGGTGATGAAATTTAGATAATAATTAAACGTATTCATGATAATCATGAAAATGTTTAAGCATCGGTGGCAAACATAGGATGTTCCAGAAATATTTTAGTCATATGTGCTGTATTCAGTCTTCCATGTCAAATAGTAGACCCAGGACCCCCAAATCCCAAATTTACTTTAACAACCACCAGTAACAAGGCCTGGCTGGCTAAACTCTGATATGTTAGAGAAAGACAGAAGTCCCTTGAGATTTTGAGAAGCAGGGTAGCCTTTAGAGATAAATCCTTCAGTTTCAGATAAATCAGATAAGGCAAATAGGACTCTGTAAGCTGCTAGTGCCCTGGAGTCTCTCCTTACCTTTTCCTTCACTACTCTCTCTTTCCTGAGGTAATTTTGCAGTGTCACCTTGATGGGGATTTCCCTAGCATTAGCCAGTCTGCTATTGAGTGCCCTTAATGAGCACAGCATCAGGAAGGCAGAGTTCATGAGCTGTGCTGTCAGAGACCTGGCCTGAAATGTGTCCAATTAGCTTTTCACAGATCAAGAAATAGCTTTAGTTCACATCTTCTGCTATCATTTGCTTTCGATTTATCAATCACCTCTACTCACCTCACTCGGCTTCTTGAATTTCCCAAAGTGCACATCATGTCTTTGGGCAGAAAACCAGGATGTTGAGCAATCCTCAGAAACAAGCTATATTTTAGAAGCTCTAACTAGTAAACTATCTCAAAAAAAATATTTTAAAAACAAATAAAAAAGAAAGAAAAAGAAGTAAAGGTACTACATATTTAAGTGATAACTGTGTACACTACTCATACTGTTAAGAGATT